ACTATTTACCATGTATTTATTATTCATTATTCATTAAATTAATTATTATTATTATTACTCATTATATATCACATTAATTACCAATCACATTAATCAGTACTTTAATTATATACCTATCATATTATACTAATTACTAATCATATATTAATTACTAATTATACCAATTACTGATTATATCATAATTACTAAGTGTATTTCATTATGTAAATTACTAATCATATTAATGATTACATAATATTAATCACTAAATATATTTTATTATATTGATTATCAATTATATTATTTAACAATTTTAACAATAATTACTAAATATATTCTATTATAATAATTACAAATCATATATTAATTACTAATTATATCAACTGATGATTATATCATATCAATTACTCAATATATTTTATTATATTGATTACTGATTATACTAATTAATAATCATATGATTTTGATTACTAAATATATATTTATTATATTAATAACTAAATATACTGATTAACAATTATATCATATAGATTACTAAATATATTTGATATCAATTCCTAATTATATTAATGAACAGTTATATATTAATTACATAAATATATTCTATCATATCAGTTACTAATTATATTAATTATTAGTTACTAATTATCAACTAAAGATTATATTATATTAATTACTAAATATATTTAATTATATCAATTACTAATTATATTAATTAACAAAAATATATATATATATAAATATAATAAATATATATATATATATATATATATATAATATATTATATAATATATATATTGTGTTATCATTACTATAATTTTTATGTGTTTCATATTTATTGTTGTAATGCATCTATTTTTTTATTTTTTTTTATTAATGTATCTATTTTAATTGATTACCAAATATGTTTTATTATATTACTTACTAATCATATATTAATTACTAATCATATATGAATTTCTAAATATATTTTATTATATCAATCACTAATTATATCAATTAATATCACACTAATTACTATTATATTAATTACTGATTATGTCAATTATTAATTGGCGTAACCACTCACCCTTGAGCCCTTCTCGCCAATGCAAGTACAATTACTGCAGTCTCTCCCGCTGCAATTCTGTCGAGGTCGAGGCTGAGGTCGAGGACGAGCTCCCACTTGAGGCTGGGAGGAGCTGCCGCCACCTGCACCTCCGTAGGACCCTGCGTACCCTCCTTCGGCGCCTCCGGATGCACTTCCGTAGCTGTAAGAACTCTCGTAGGAGCTCTCGTAGGAACCAGATCCTCCGTAACCTCCTCCTGTGCCTCCAGAGCCGTAGGAACCATCTCCAGCTCCTCCGTAACCTCCTCCCCTGTGCCTCCAGAGCCGTAAACCATCACCAGCTCCTCCGTAACCTCCTCCTGTGCCTCCAGAGCCGTAGGAACCATCTCCAGCTCCTCCGTAACCTCCTCCTGTGCCTCCAGAGCCGTAGGAACCATCACCAGCTCCTCCGTAACCTCCTCCTGTGCCTCCAGAGCCGTATGAACCGTCTCCAGCTCCTCCGTAACCTCCTCCTGTGCCTCCAGAACCGTAGGACCCATCTCCAGCTCCTCCGTAACCTCCTCCTGTGCCTCCAGAGCCGTATGAACCATCTCCAGCTCCTCCGTATCCTCCTTCCCCTCCAGAACCGTAGGACCCATCTCCAGCTCCTCCGTAACCTCCTCCTGTGCCTCCAGAACCGTAGGACCCATCTCCAGCTCCTCCGTATCCTCCTCCTGTGCCTCCAGAGCCGTAGGAACCATCTCCAGCTCCTCCGTAACCTCCTCCTGCACCTCCCGAACCGTATGAACCATCTCCAGCTCCTCCGTATCCACCTCCATAGCCTCGATCCTGGTCACGAGACCCAGTCACCCCGCCTCTGTATCCGGAACCACTCCTAGACGACTCGAAGGAGCTAGAGCTGGAGGTGTAGACTCGACCATAGCCCCTGTCCCTTGATCCGTAGCGCCGGTTCTCCCCATCGTAGGACGAGGAATCCTGCGAGTAATATCCGTCCGAGGACTCGCCATCGGAGGAGTAGGATCCCCCGCCGCCTCTAGATGATCCACTCGACGAGTAGGAACTTTCGTAGCCTCCGTCGGACGAGTAGAAAGTCCTACTGCTACTACTCGAAGAGCTGGACCCCGCTGCCTCTCCTCCTTCTCCAGAGAATCCTAGACTTCCCGAAACTCCCGAGGAGCCGCCGTAGGAGAGGCTGAAACCACGGTCCGAGTCGTTTCTCGAGGAGCTGGTCGCATACTCGTCCTCATAGTAGTCCGCTTCTCCTTGGGAATAATCAGTGTTGTCAATTTGCAGATCTTGTGGGTTCTGGGTTGAGGTTTCATCGTTGGTATCACTGCCGAAGAACCAGGATTGCTGCGAAAGAAGAAGAAGAAGAAGGAGTTAGATAATTGCGGTGGAAGGGAAATTAGAATAACGGTAAAGAGTGAGAAAGTAGGATTAAAATAGTAGGCGAGAAAAAAGTGAAATCTCTTTTATTCTCGTCTTTTTCTTTCTCTCTTTCTCTCCCTCGCTTCCCCCTCTCTCATCTCTCATCTCTCTCTCTCTCTCTCTCTCTCCCTTCCCCCTCTATCTTTTTTTTCTCTCTCTCCCTCCCTTCCCCCTCTCTAATCTTTCTCTTCTCTTTCTCTCTTTTTCCTTTCTCTCTCTCTCATCTCTCACGAACAAAACAAACAAAAATCTAAAAAAAAATAAAAATAAAGATTGAATTAATTATAATCTGCTGGCGCCATTTTGTTTAGGCAAATGAGCACTTGAAATTCTTTCTTGGAATATAAAAATTCCATTTGAGTTTAAATGTCTGGGAAATTATAACGGTCTCTTCAGAAACCAGGACGGACTTAAATAGCAAGATAAAGACATAATTTTTTTGCCCATTTATTGTTTTTTTTTTTATTTAATCTTACTTCATTTTCTATGGCATCATAAGATCGAACAAGTACGTGTCCGAAAGCCTTCGCCGACTTTGCCGCATGTAAATGACATTATTTATTCATGACATTATTTACTCTCTCTCTCCTCGCCCAACATTCCCTTCGAGAAAATTGCTTCAAAAAATGTCAACGATGAATTATGAGGATAAAAAATAGTCTCAAACCGTGGCTTTTACTCAGTTTATCCGAACTGTCCTAAGTAGGAGTGCGGGGAATCGAATTCAAAATGGCCGACGAATGAAGTGGGGGAAATTGGCGGGAAAAAAACAAAACAAAAGAAAAACGATTTGAAGATAATAATAATTAAAAAAAAATCTATGAATCTATGTATCTCTATTCATATATTAGAAATACACGAACTAGAGAGAAAAAAATCACTTTTGAAATGACGAAAGAATGAAATTTTGAAAAAAAAGAGAAAAATAGCGCGTAAGACACGAAACGACAAAGAAAACGAAAGAAAGAATCAGGAAAGGCAGAAATAAAAGGGAAAATCCAGTTTAAATAAATAAATAAATAAACAGTGCAAATACCCCAAAAAAATAAAATCTAAAACACGATATGAAAACAAAAAAATCCACGAATAACAAAGAAACAAAAGAAATAACAGCAATAAAAAAAAAATCTAAAACACGATACGAAAAAAAAACACGAATAACAAAGAAAAAAAAGAAATAACAGAAATACAAAAAAAATTCTAAAACACGATAAGAAAAAAAGGCCACGAATAACAAAGAAACAAAAGAAATAACAGCAATCAAAAAAAAATCTAAAACACGATACGAAAAAAAAACACGAATAACAAAGAAACAAAAGAAATAACAGCAATAACAAAAAAATTCTAAAACACGATAAGAAAAAAAGGCCACGAATAACAAAGAAACAAAAGAAATAACAGCAATCAAAAAAAAATCTAAAACACGATATGAAAACAATAAAATCCACGAATAACAAAGAAAAAAAAGAAATAACAGAAATACAAAAAAAATTCTAAAACACGATAAGAAAAAAAGGCCACGAATAACAAAGAAACAAAAGAAATAACAGGGGGGGGGGGGAAATCTAAAACACGATACGAAAAAAAAACACGAATAACAAAGAAACAAAAGAAATAACAACAATAATAATAAAAAAAACGAGAAACAATCAAATGAAAACAAGAAACAAAAACATACAAGACAAATACATACTTCTTCATAGTGGAACAAGGACATTTAGTTAACTTAATATGAGATCACTCTTGAAGGTCAAATAGAAGCTAAGGAGGGATGACTGTGCTAAAATTCTCTCTCTCGCTGTCTCACTCTCTCTATCTTTCTATCTTTCTATCTATCTAACTATCTGTCCGTCTGTTTCTCTCTCTCACTCTCTCTCTCTATCTATCTTTCTATCTAGCTATCTGTCTGTCTGTTTCTCTCTCTCTCTCTATCTGTCTGTCTATCTAACTGTTTCTCTCTCTATCTATCTATCTGTTTATTTTTTTCTCTCTCGCTCTCTGTCTTTCTGTCTGTTTCTCTCTCTCTTTCAAGCTATATGCCTATTTCTCTCTCTCTCTCTCTCTCTCTCTCTCTCTCTATTTTTAATTTTATCTCTTTCTTTCTAGTTCTCTCTCTCTCTCTCTCTCTCTCTATTTTCTATCTTTTTCTCCCTCCTCTCTCTCACACTTTCTTCAATCTCTCTCTCTTTCTAACTCCTCTCTCCCTTCCTCCCTTCCCTTCTCCCCCTCCTCCCTCTCCCCCACCCCACTCTCTCTCTATCTATCTCTATCTATCTACCTTTGTCTCCTAATAAATAATATAATAAATAATACTAATAAATAATAAATAATAAATAATAAATAATACATTTTCGTCAACAGCGTCGCATAAATCGTGGTCTTTTTGGCGGTTATTTTAAAAGGCAAGACAATATGGCGTCAGTTAGTTTTGGCGGGAAAGGAGAGAAAGGAAGAAAGAGGGAGGGAGGGAGAGAGAGAAAGGAAGAAAGAGGGAGGGAGGGAGAGAGAGAAAGGAAGAAAGAGGGAGGGAGGGAGAGAGAGAAAGGAAGAAAGAGGGAGGGAGAGAGAGAGAGAAAGGAAGAAAGAGGGAGGGAGGGAGAGAGAGAAAGGAAGAAAGAGGGAGGGAGAGAGAGAGAGAAAGGAAGAAAGAGGGAGGGAGAGAGAGAGAGAGAGAGAAAGAGAGAGAGAGAGAGAGAGAGAGAGAGAGAATTAGGGGGAAAAAGTGTCATTTAGAGGGGAATTTTTCTTATTTAGGGGAAAAAAGAGTAATTTAGAGGGAAAAATGTTAATTAGGGGAAAAGGTGTCATTTAGAGGGGAAAAAATGTTATTTATGGGAAAAAAGCGGCATTTAGGGGGAAAAGGTGTTATTTAGGGAAGAAAGCGTCATTTCGCGGGAAAAATTATTCAGGGGAAAAGTTTTAGGGAAAAAATGTTATCTAGGGGAAAAAAGTGTCATTTAGGGGGAGGAAAGACATCATTTAGGGGAAAAAGTTGTCGATTAGGAAGAAAGAGTGAGAAAGAGAGAGAGAGAGAGAGAGAGAGAGCGAGAGAGAGCGAGAGAGAGAG